CAATCGTGTAGCCTTGTGCTACCAATTCATTGGGACCAACGAGAAAAGCTAGAAGGAGTCCTGCATCCATGTGCCACTCAATATGACAATGGAAGAGCCAAGCGCCCGGATTGTTAGCTAAAAACCGTATCTTGACCCAGCCTGAACCTGGTACACTCACCACGTCTCGTTTTATGTATGCTCCCCTATACAATTGTTCAGCTTGAGGATTATCCGAAGTTGATATGATCCAAAAGTGATGACCATGAAGATGAAATGGATGTTCACCCTCATCTGTGTTTTGCAACCGTATGTCGACGACAGCTTGATATGGAACTAAGTAGTGTCCACATCCGTCACTTTGTATAACGGGTAATCGACTGTCGCTTGTCATGATTGGAGATGGAATGCCAAGTCCGTTAGGTGTCGTTGCCATCTGATAGAGTAGTGGTACTTTATCCGATGTTATGCATTTCGGATTACCTGGTTTATGACTAGGATTATTCGCAGCAGCACCATATGTAACATTGTTAATATATCCACGAGTGATGTTAAGAGAATCCTGATGGAATGTGATGACAAGTTTTAGATAATGAGTTGCATCGGGAACTTTATTGTTTGCTTGATAGAATGGTCGAGCACGTAAGATATTAACATCTTCTGAATCTTCTGAACCTAGATTACTTGATCCTGTGGTTACTTGATTGACCGGATATGTCGGCATGGAATTACTTGAATCGAGCGATAAAATAGCCAGGTATAATGAATTGAAAAATATCGGATATGGAAGACATGGAGTTGTATATGGAGCAATATAGCTGTCAATATCAACTGGATACATTTCCGAATTAGCTTTAAATCGAATGTAAATTGATTTTGTTGATGACACATCAGAAGGTACATGAGTTTGATCAAATTCCTTCAAATTCACATAAAAAGAAACTCGTTGAGCAACGTTAATACTAAAGGAAAACACTGTGTATGGTACTAAAGGCGTTTGATCAAGTTCAATAATATGTAATGGTAATCCATCGATTGAAACAGTATACATGGAAAATGCTGCAGCATTAATGATTCTAAAACGGATACGTGTCACACCGAACGTTTGTACGAACAGCGACTGAGAAAATTTTCCATTCACAATGATAGCATCAGGTATGGGCTCAAAGCCTTCTGTATTTTTTGCGCTTAGAAACCAAGATAATAACTTTGTTCGTGCAACATCATTGTACCAATCAGATACCATCAGTATACGTTCAGTGTCATATTGCTCTTGATTCGGCTCTACTTGTCGACGAATAACCAATGGGCCAATTAGACCGTCTGTATATTGATCTAAATAGTGACCATGATACCATGCAGTACCTGCAGGTTGAGCTCTGAATTTGTATGTCATTTCACCGGAAGAAGGAATGGGGCATTGCGTGGCGCCCACTGCACCATCCATGTCTGGTGTACCGATTTGAAAAATTCCATGCCAATGAATGGTTGTTGGCTGTGCAAGTTTATTGATTACACGAATCACCAGAGTGTCGTTTTCGTACGCTTCTATTAATGGACCCGGAAAGCTATAGTTTACTGCTACGATCGGTTTTTTTGATGTAGAGTACGGAAATATTGTATCAATGATCAAGGTCTGCGATACGATAGCCCCTTCCGTTGCTATCGCAGGCATAACTGTCAGAAAAATCAGCAGAATTTGCATGCGTTTCTTCTTTTCTTTGATAGGCTAGATAAAAAAGGCTGACCAAAGTTAAATTATTTCTTTCACAAACATAACGGATAGCATCTACTTCAGATTATTCGGATTGAATCTTTCGGAATAGTTCAACATTATTGTACGAATCTAGTCATCAATTATTAACTTTCCAGGAGCTATGCAACATCATTTGGATTATGAATAGGAAAACATATGATTATAGTGTTACCTGATAAGAAAAGAATTGAATAAGTTCTACGCAAAAGTAGGCTTTCCAAAATAAGTGTGATGTCTGACTGCTTTTCTTATTCTCATCTAACTCCTAGACACTCCTCCTAACTGTTTGTAGAGGCAGCGAACCTATACCGCTGTCAAAGAGTATCGTTTTTTATATTATAGCGATTATTGTTTAGAGAAGTCAAGCTTTCACGGTTGTTGTGGAGATCGTCATAAAGCCAATAGAAGCAGACGAAAACAAATTACTTCCTATGTCTCTGCGATCTCTATTCACAGAGGTTGCGAGGGACCTCGTGAAGAAAGCAAAAATGAAAAATTCCATGCTATTAACAGATTTGTCAATATAACAAATCGAACTGGCGACTTGAAATTCGATTTGAACTGACTCACTCTTATGGTTTCAGCTCAAAATTTTGCTGAATAGGTTAAATCAAAACGCAGTCATTTCTGGATGAAGTTGTCTTTGACGCAAGTCATAAATATATGTTGTGATCAAGAAACAATATGTGAAGAATTCGTCATGATTTTGGGAAAGAACAAAATATACTGTTGCCTATATGGTGCTAACAGCCAATTCATGCAAGCTACGATCAACGCAGAGAGAGCGTATTCAATCGAAGTCCTCAAATCTTGCTCAATTTAGGATATGTTGTAGAGGTGAGAGTTTTATCAATTTTCGCGCAAGTTATTTTAAAATATATTAGTTCCTCGGTTTTTAATAATTTTTTTACGAAAGCTCTTAAAACGCAGAATCACAAAAGGAGAATTTTAAGAGCTTAAATATCTTGAAAATGATTTGATCGATGGAGCTAAAATTTTTCTTGGATGTATACACTAATGAGTTGTACTTCCAACAAAATTTTCAGCTAAAACGGTTGAATTGTTGCTGTTCTATGGATTTCAGTTATACCGGTAAAATTCACGGTTTTCAGCTGTCCTAAAGCTTTATATCTCGTTATTGGGAAGAGATAAGAATCAAAGATTTTTACTGTAGATATAACTCAGAGATTTCTCTTCAATTAAAATTTTAGCTTGATAGACTCTTGCATTCGCCTAGGAAGACCTTGCCAAAGTCGAATTTTTGATCAAAATCTCGACTCTAAGTTTTGAGTTAACTGCCAAGAAACCTGTCGTATTGTAAGTTGACTTTGAGAAGTTCGAAGCCCCATGAGTGTACTACAACTTCATAGAAGAATTAGCGTGGGATCCCTAGAAATGATTCGGATAAGGGGTCATCTTTGGAAGTCCAAATGAAGTTGGCGACGGTGTTTGATAATCCTTCACCTGGAATGGAAGTCAGTGATCCAGTATTGTCTTAATCATCCTACCTATGCAAATTTTGACAGGATACACGGTAGTTCTCGTCTGACATCTATATCTCATATTTAGTCTTTGCGAAACTCAAGAAAATCTGTACATGGCTTAAAAGTTTATATACCTTCCCTTTTTGAAGAGAAACCATGATTTTTCAAGCCACGACTCATAAAAAAATCTTTGTACAAGACAAAGACGATGCCTTCGCAACAATGTTCCTTTACAACTTTCCATCTTTATCGATGATTTTGGTTGAGAAATATCTGGTTTTCCAGAGTTTCGAAAATGTAAATTCGGATTTATTGGTCGAGATCTAGTGTATCTGGAAGAGTATAATCAAAAAACTATCATTGATTGTTTTATTTCATAGAAGCGTCAATTGTTTAAATAACGAAGCATGTAATTAAAGATCTTGCTTGAAACAACGCTAACAGTGCACTTAGTTCACTACACTGCATAATTTCATTGTCAGTCCCTTTTCTTCCAATGCGTTCTATAGGTCTAAAAATTATCGATAACAGAGTTTCAACTATGCTCTTTTTGATGCGCTAGGCATCGACCAGAAAATCCAAATTCACATTTTCTGACCTCTGGAAAATCAGATGTATCTAACCCAAAGTCATCAATAAAGTGAGAAAGTCATGAAGGAACATTGCTGCGATGGTCTCGCCTTTGTCTTATATAACGAACGCTCTATGAATAATGACTTGAAATATCATGCTTTCTCTTTAAACAGAAAGATACATAGACTTTTAGGTCGCATATATAGGTTTTCTTAAGTTTCACAAAGTCTAAATTTGAGATATACATATCAGACGATAACTATCATGTTTCTCATCAAAATTTTCCTAGATAGGATGTTTAACACAACATTTTATTATTGATTGAAATTCCAGGTGAAGGATTGCCTACCCTGTCACTCGCTTCATTTATGCTCTCGAAGATGATCCTCTTATCTAGGTCATTTCTAGAGATTCCACACTAATTCTTCTATGAGGTTGTAGATCACTGATGAGACTTCGAATTTCTCAAAGTCAGCTTCCAATGCGATAGATTTCTTGGCGGATAACTCCGACTGAAAGTCGGAATTTTAATCAAAAACCCAACTTTAACAAAGTTTTTGAAATCGAAAGATCTCAAGCTGATTCTTTCAGATGTTATGTAGCTTTTGATTCTGTACAAAATAATAAAAATTTATTGGAGAAAAAGTTTCCCCGTGACCCGAAAAGTGGCTAATGCTGCCTATAACCCAGTGAATTCCGTTTAGGAAAACAATCCTAGACACTTTTAAATGTTATTCATGTCATGAAAATTTTCATCTCAGAGAAATTAGGTTTTCATCGTATGTAGAATGGCATGTACAATTCCATTGATAAAGAAAGTCATTTTTCGACCTCCGTGCATCTCTGAAGGCGGATAGAAGAATTTTGAATAATTTGTTTTTTTGATTTGAACGGATAGTGATAATCCCGAACGATATGACTTGGAATCTTGGCAACAGCCATATGGTCAAAGTCCATTTCTAATTTTAATTTTGGCGATATAGAATTAACCTTTCAAGGTCATATCCTTGCCATATAGCACCGAGTGCTATACCAGACAGATGCTATATAAACGGCTAGATTACTATTAGAAATGGACTTCGATCATATGGCTGTGATCAAGATTTCAAGCACTATTATTCAGGATAATCTCTATTCGATTACACCAAAAAACATTTGTTCGAAATTCTCCTATCTGCCTTCAGAGATGCACGGAGGTCGAAAAATGACTTTCTTTATCAATGGAATTGTACATGCCATTCTACATACGATGAAAACCTAATTTCTCAGAGATGAAAATTTTCATCATTGAATGACATTTAAAAGTGTCCAGGGTTGTTTTTCTAAAAGGAATTCACTGGGTTACAGGCAGTGTTAGCCATTTTTTGGGTCAAGTGGAAACTTTTTTCTAATACTTTTTTATCATTTTGTATAGAATCAAACGTTGCATAGCATATCAAAAATTGAGTTTGGTGTCTCTTGGTTTAAAAAAATGACAGCAGATATACTGCAAAAGCACAACCGTCATAAACTCATCAATTGTGTTAGTTTTCATTCTTGTTAGGCTATATTACCTCAATAAATCGATGATATACGACATTTTAAATACATGTTTTTTTTCAATTGCTGATAATCTATCTTTTAATATATTCCATAGAAGGTTTGAATGATCTGCTGAAACACAAGCAGGTATACTTTTATGGAGTCATTTTTACTGCTTTTCACTTATAGAGGTATGGTGCTAAAAGTCGGTATTGACTAACTTTTCGAAGGAAGGGTATTAGAAACTACAATTTTCAGGTTGATAGATGCAGACATGGATAGTTCGAATGCGCAAAAAAAATCAATTTTTTTTTGTTTAGTGTCTCGGATATTGGATTCATCTTCGATATTCTTATGGAGGATCTCTTAATCTTCTGCGAGATTGAATCTTTTCAGATGATAGAATAATACAATACTGAATGGTTGTATTTCTACGTTGGCACTCAGAAATCGAATTGATAGAATCTGCTATAGACGCATTTTGAGAAGAGTGATTTTACAATATCTAATCTCTTCTATTGACTTCGTACAGAATTTTAGAACGTTTTCTCCACGAATAAAACAATCGTAGTCATACGAAAATAACACTATACAAAAGTTAGAGATTCTACTATATGACACAAAAATCCGCTCGATATTCATTACGACAAAGATATCGAGAAGAGATAGCATATTCGACAAACATACATTTATTCGTTGTATTCGTATGAAATTGTGTCAGTCCACGCGCAGATCAATAGTGCAAAGTGATGACGTTGTTCTATAAGTCAGAGAAAAGCATTACGTCGTATATATATACATATATATACACACGGTGAGTAAGCTTGTATTTTGCGCATTCATCCGTATACATCAATTATATGAGTATATCGTATTGGGCGTGGTGCTTCCCTCCTCTCGTTAAAAAAAATTAACGTCATTTTATTTGTTCTGTCTTACATCATTAGAAAGTCTTAATTGACGGTAATAAATACTCAATCGAGTGGTTAGAGAAACGTGCGTTATACTACGACTTTCCTTTTTTTTCACAATCATCGAACACAACATACAAATATCAACGCTTTGCTGTCAATAGTTTGCCACTAGATAGCATGATCCTAATTCAACCAAACA